TCTCTGAGGTTTTGGGGTTCTTTCCAAGACTAGAATTTATAAAACTTAGCAAGGTTACATTTAAATACCCACAAGTTATTGCAGTGATTCCTGCTCAGCAGTGGCACCAGTGTTATCCAGTGGTGAAATCCCATGGGAGGCATTCACGGCTCTCAGACAAGGTGGGGGTGATCCTGAGGAACAGGATTTGCTTTTCCCCACTCCAACCTCAGGATTTGGAGCACTGGGGCTAAACCTGAAGGAATTCTAAGGTATTTTCCTTGCTCAGGGCTTCACTGAGGATGTTCATGGCAGCCAGGGTCTTGCTGAACCAGAACAAATCAATCCTGAGCTCCCAGCCCCTTACAGGAAGGGATTGCTAATTATTTATGGTATCAGAACGTTCAGGGAAGGAACTTTCCCTTCATTCTTTGCTTTCTTTTATACCCAGAGGAACAAGCTGCTTTCATAATTTATTCCAGGCATTGCTGGAATAAAAGTTATCAAGCATTTATCCCACAGCTGGGCTGTCTCTGGGAAGAGCTGTCAGTCAGGGCTCCTTACTGGAGGAGAGAGAGAGAAAAGCAGCATTTAACCAAGTGATGGTGAAACTGGGGAGTGAGTTCCACGGTCCTGAGCCCCCAGGGATGGCAGGGTGGGTGCCCAGCTCCTCCTCAGCAGCACAAAAATAAGAAAGGTTTGGTGTTTGGCCATCACAAAAAAGACAACTTTCACATAGGAATTGATTTTGTTGCACTTAAACCCTTGGAAGTGCAATCCAAGGCAGCATCCCAAACATATCCAATCTTTGTGTTTCTGTGCAACCCACTGAGCCACAGAAATGGCAGCAGATCGAGCCATTTATCACCTAAAATCTGATTTTTGAATCTTGTTTTTGCTTTTCCCAACCGATTTCCTCTTCTGGCACTGGGTCCCCACCACCTCTGCTTTGTTCTCAGCTGCTGGCTGTGCAGCCAGGGATTCTCCAGCAGGAGTTTGGGATGTGCCTGTCAGCTGGCTCCTTTGATCTCTCCATTCCTCTTCTTTTAAAGGATGATTTCCCACTCCTCCTGACCTAACTTGCAGTGGCTGTTATGAGCTTTCAGAGGGATAAAGTAAAACAAAGGTGGCACTTTGGCAAATGCCCCAGATGATGTTAATTAAAGTCTCCTCCTCACTGAGATGTGTTCCCAGGCACTTTAGGAATCCTGTAAATGAGCTTTGGTTCTGTAGGGGCAAAGGCACCATCCCCACGCTGGCACAGTTCCCCTCCTGAGCTGCTTTGTTGTGCTCCAGCTGCTGCCCCCGGGTCCTTCCTGGCATCCTGAGGGCTCCTGCCAGGGATTCTGACACCTCAACACTTCTTGAAAGCCTCAGGGCCCTCTGTGCCCTGGTTCCAGTGCTGGCACAGCCTGGCTGGGGGTGGGCATGGGATGCCAGGGGGCTGCAGGATGCAGCTCAGTGCTGGATGCCCACCCTGGGCTTTGCCAGCCTCTGCCTCATTCACCTGCTCATGTGGAATGTGTTTGGAGATTGTTCACCCACAGGTGATTGTTCCATTGCATTCTGCTGGGAGTTGTTTTCACTCTTTGGCCAATCAGGGCCAAGCTGTGTCAGGACTCTGGAGAGAGTCAGGAGTTTTCATTATTCTCTTTTTAGCATTCAATAAGAATCCTTTTTTTCTTTAGTATAGTATAATATTCTTTAATATCATATAGTATAATAAAGTAATAAATTAGCTTTCTGAGAACATGGAGTCAGATTCATCATTCCTGCCTTTGTTGGAGCATTCCCTGCAAATACAATTCTCTGTCCCAGGATTTTCCTGGGGAAGGCAGTGAGAAGCTCAGAAAAGAAAACAATTCTTATCTCTATTTGCTGCTCCTGTTGTTTGGCACATGTGGAATGTGTTATGGAGATTGTTTACCCAAAGTGATTTGTTAATTGGGCACTGGTGAAGGTTGCTTTGATTCCTTGGCCAATTGGGTCAAAGCTGTGTCCTGGCTCTCTCAGACAGTCACGGGGTTTTTCTTTAGTATCTCTTTAGTATAGTCATAGTGTACCATTAGTGTAATATAATATACCTTAATAAAGCAATTGTTCAGCATTCTAAATCATGGAGTCAGAGCACATTATTCCCGTGTTGGGGGCTCCCAGAAACTATCCATCCTCTACATTTCTTATTCCCAGAATCTATCCATCCTGGCTCAGCTCACACTGACTGTGCTGTTGGGAGCCTCCTCCAGGGTGGAGATTCAGGATTATCTCCTCTCTGGGTTCTTCCCACACTGCACAGGTCCATAAGTGAGCAATTAAGCTGTGAGGATGGAGGAAGGGAGCAGAGGATGAAATCACTGGCCTGGGTGCAGAAGATTGGATTAAAGGCTCTGCATGTGCTGGTTCTTGGTTTAAATTGTCTCCTGTTGCTTGTGCTCCAACTGCATCTGTGGAGCTGATGTCATGGGAATTTTAAGGTCGTGAAAATGTGGGAACAGGTGTCCTATAGAATAAATACTCAGCTCCTCAGGTCCTGGCTGGCTTCTGCCTCCTGCCATCCAAGATCCCAGCAGGTTTTTTTCCTGATCTCCAGCACCTCCTGCTGCTGGAGTCTGGCCCTTTCCGCCCAGCAATGCTGAGCCTGCTCTTCCCTGGGCCAGGCTCAGGCAGTCCCTGAGGTAAGGACAGGGATTTATTCTGGGAGTGCTCCCTGCACTGCCATGGCCACATCCTGCTCAGCTCTGAGTGCAATTGTGCAGCTGCCTCAGAAAACTCTGCTTTTCCTTGGGCTGGTTCATGGTGGCCGATTGCTGCTGAATGCTCTGCAGCCTGCTGTCAAGAAACTGCAGAAAAAGGGCTCCTGTTAGCAAGAAACTGAAGGAAAAGGGGCTCCTGTTATCAGGAAAGTGAGGATAAAGGCCTTTTGTTAGCAAGAAACTGAGGAAAGGGGGCTCTTGTTAGCAAGAAACTGAGGGAAAAGGGCTCCTGTTAGCAAGAAACTGAGGGAAAAGGGCTCCTGATAGCAAGAAACTCAGGAAAAGAGGCTCCTGTTATCAGGAAATTGAGGAAAAAGGGCTCCTGTTATAAAAACACTGAGGGAAAAGGGCTCCTGATAGCAAGAAACTCAGGAAAAGAGGCTCCTGTTATCAGGAAACTGAGGAAAGGGGGCTCTTGTCAGGAAGAAAAGAGTTCCTGGTGTCAAGAAAATGGGAAAAAAGGGCTCCTGTTATCAGGAAATGGAGGGAAGAGGGCTCCTGTTATCAGGGAAGTGAGGGAAAAGGGCCAGATTCTCACGGTCACTGGGAGTGGTGCAGAGGATGGAGGCTGGTGGGAGGGTTTGGCCTTGGCTTGTGTTACAATCAGAATTGTTTAGGTTGGAAAAGCCCCCCAGGATCATGAAACCCCACCTTTGGATGAGCACAGGCCCAAATAGGGGAGGTTTTTTGCTGGAACATCCAGAAGTGCTGCAGGAATTGGTGAAGGTGGCTGTGCTGTGGGGCAGAGCTGGCCTTGTGACTTCTCATCATTGTCACTTGTGGACACTGGGACAATATTCCTCTCCTTGCTGTGCCCTAAACCAGGGAATCCATTTCATTTTCTGTGCAGAGCAGCACATTTGTAAGACCCCTTCTGCTTTGGGGGCTGGATTTCATGGTGTGTCAGACCCACACCCTGCTCTCTGCATGTTCTCCTGTGAGCAAAAATTATTTTGCACACAGAGAAGAAACTCTGAGCAGAAACTGCTTCAGGTGTTGGGAAACACCAGACATCAAACTGAGAGATTTGTGGATTTATCACAGGAAGTTCTGGAAGGTAATTTCCAGCATAACTGAGGGATCCAGCTCCCTCTTTCTGTCTCCTCTTTGTGCTTTCCTGGGGCACAGGGTGCAGCTCTTTAGTGCCTGATGATGTCCAGTGGCCTCATAAACAGGCAGAGATTGGGGATTTTCCTACAGCAGCCCTGGAGTTTGTGGGAATTAATTCCTTCCAGTGAACACAATCCACAATGTGATCACAGAGTTTAAAGCAGCTCCAATATTTGCCACCACTCTTAGCCATGCTTTGGAAAGAGGAATTTGCACTTAATCTGTATTTGTTTTTTAAAGCAGCTCCAATATTTGCTGGTTTTACACCACACTTGGCCGTGCTTTGGAAAGAGGAATTTGCATTTCATCTGGATTTCTTGTTTAAAGCAGCTCCAATACTTGCTGGTTCTGCACCACACTCAGCCATGCATTGGAAAGAGGAACTTGAATTTAATCTAATTTTTTTTTAAAGCAGCTCCAATATTTGCTGATTTTACACCAAACTTAGCCATGCTTTGGAAAGAGGAATTTGCATTTAATCTGGATTTTTTGTTTAAAGCAGCCTCAATATTTGCTGGTTTTACACCTGTGGGATTCATATTCTCTGAACCTGAGAGAAGCAGAGAAAAGAATGATCAAAACAATTCTTATCTCAATTGCCTCTCTCACTACTTCTCTCAGGTTCAGAAAATGTGAATCCCCCAACATCACACTTAGCCATGCTTTGGAAAGAGGAATTTGCATGTAATCTGGATTTATTTTTTTTTAAAGCACCTCCAATATTTGCTGGTTTTACACCATTCCTAACCATAGTTTGGAAAGAGGAATTTGTATTTAATCTGGAATTGTTTCTTAGAACAGCTCCAATATTTGCTGGTTTTACACCAAACTTAGCCATGCTTTGGAAAGAGGAATTTGCATGTAATCTGGATTTATTTTTTTTTAAAGCACCTCCAATATTTGCTGGTTTTACACCATTCCTAACCATAGTTTGGAAAGAGGAATTTGTATTTAATCTGGAATTGTTTCTTAGAACAGCTCCAATATTTGCTGGTTTTACACCAAACTTAGCCATGCTTTGGAAAGAGGAATTTGCATTTAATCTGGAATTGTTTTTTAAAGCAGCTCCAATATTTGCTGGTTTTACACCAAACTTAGCCATGCTTTGGAAAGAGGAATTTGCATTTAATCTGGATTGTTTTTCCTGTTTCCCTGCAGGATTCTGGCCACTGCTGGGACTGATTTTGACCTGCGGACCCTGCGAGCCGTGCGGGTGCTGCGGCCCCTGAAACTCGTGTCAGGAATCCCAAGTGAGTGTCCTGCCCTCCTTGTGTCCCAGCCCAGGGGCTCTGTAGAATTTGGGTGTTACTGCTTTTCTCAGCAATATTTTCTCCCCCTGCATCTTTGGGGTCTGTGGTTCCTGCCCTCAGCAGGGTCTGGTTGTCTCTCATCCCATTTTGTGCTGATTTCAGCTCTGTGCTCCCAAAGCTGCAGGAGAGGGGCAGGGATTTGTCCAAGGATCCTTTTGCCTTTGGGGGTGAAGAAATTCTCTGGGAGAGCAGACCTGAGAGATGAATTTTGCAGCTTTCAGGCTTTTCAGCTTGGATCTTCTGATGGTTTTGATCAGCTGAGCATCCTGTGCTGGGGATTTGACCCTTTTAGTAAGGGGGAGATGTGGTCACCATTTGTGGTATTTTTGGGGTCCCCTGGATGGAGGAGGAATTGAGAATCTGACTCCATGTTCTTAGAAGGATAATTTATTATTTTATGTTACTATATTATATAAAAGAATGCTATACTAAAACTATACTAAAGAATAGAGAAAGGATACAGGCAGAAGGCTTAACAAGATTCTAATGAAAAACCTGTGACTCTTTCCAGAGTCCTGACACTGCCTGACTGTGATTGGTCATTAAGTTAAAACAATTCACATGTTGGAGAAACAATCTCCAACCACATTCAAAAGCAGCAAAACACAGGAGAAGCAAATGAGATCATATTGTTTTCCTTTTTCTATGAGGCTTCTCAGCTTCCCAGGAGAAGAAATCCTGGCAAAGGAATTTTTCCAGAAAATATGACAGTGACAGGGAGAAAATAAAGGGAAAGAGCAGGTGGGATCTGGCCTTGCCTACTCAATTTGTGCATTCAAAGTGTGAACCTGAAGGGTCTGAATGCTGAGTGAGGAGCTGCATCATGCCCTGAAACCATCCCAGTGCCCACACCGTGGCTTTCTGCCTTTTTCTGTCACAGCCAGAGCTTTTCTGCCCCCAGCAGGGATCACTTCCAGAAGCTCTTTCATTCCTGGATGTGGAATAGAGAGGTTTGTACCTGCCAGCAGGAGCTGCTGGAAGGAGCTACAACACTGTGGGATGCTGGATTCACCTGAGGGCAAGACAGCACCAACAATTCCTGAAATCAGCTTCCATTCATGTGCAGGGCTTCAATCTGAATTCCCAGCCAGGACAGATTCTTGGAAAGGTGGCATTTTTTAGCAGGATCTCCAACAAGGAGATGGTGCTGGATGTTTTTCCCTGGACCTTTTGCCTGTGCAAGGTGTGGCAATGACAGCCTGAGGTTGTCACAGAAGTGAGGTGGCCCCTCAGAGCTGTCCCTGTCCTGCTGTGGGACACATGTTCCACCTGGGGATGTGTCCTGGACCAGCACAACACCACCCCACAATAATTGCTCTCAGGTTTTTAGTGATGTGGTGAAACCTGAGTATTTTATAGTTGGTTTTTTTTTTTTCCCCTGTAATAAATGCATAACCTTGATGTGCAACCACCCACAAACACAGAATATTCTTCCCTTTTATTCCCTCGATGTTTTTCCTGTCAAAGAGACCTTGCTGCTTTTTAAAATGTCTGTGCCCATCTCCATCTCACTGGTGCTCTCCAAGGTGGCAAGACAAGGATGATCCTTCAGCCCCCAGCCCTCAGGACAGCCCACCAGGGCAGCTGCAGGGTTTTGTGTGCAGGTTTTTGTGTGAATGAAAACAATAATTATCTGATTGCTGCTCCTGTGTTTGCTGCTTTGGAATGTGGCTCGGACATTGTTTACCAACAGGTGAATGTTTGATTGGTTCCATGTGAATTGTTTTTAATTAATGACCAATCACAGCCAGCTGTGTCAGACTCTGAGGAGTCAGCCCTGAGTTTTTCATTATCATTGTTGTTAAGCCTTCTGTCTGTATCCTTTCTGTATTCTTTAGTATAGTTTTAGTTTTAGCAGGATATTATCAGCCACCTCCATCTCCAGCCTGCTCTCCTTATCTCCCTGCCTTTAATTGAAGTGAGTGTCAGGGCTGGTGACAAAGCTGTGGATGGGCAGCCCTGGGTTTGTTTCTGCAGAGCAGGGTGTGACAGGGACTGCAGTGTCCCTTGTGGGCTGTGGGGGGAGAGGAGCTCCTGAGCAGCCCCCAGTGCCTGGCACAGGGATCACATCCACCCACGGGGCTTTGCTTCCCTCCTTCACTTCCAAACTCAGTGGCAAGATCAGGTGCTGGACATTCTCTCTTTGGCCTCACTCTGAGCTCCTCAGGACAGGTTTCCACTGCAGTCCAGACCCTGCCTGATCTCTCCAAGCACCACCATAATCTCCTTCCAGGGAAATGCTTCAGCCTCGTGTCTATAGACACAAATTGGAATTTATTTTGGCAAATATCTTCAGGAGACCCTGGTGCAGCTAAATAATTGTATTAGCTGAGGTTTAATCTCCTGCTCTGGTCTCACTTCCATTTCAGTGCAGTCAGATAATAACAGTAATAACAATTCAGCACCGATTTCTTAATTACCACTGAGTCCAGCCATGGTGTGAATTTGGTGGGATAAAGCTGACACTTCCAGCTTGTCTGGAAGCTTCCATGTCTGGACATTTCCAGCTGTCCAAAGCTGACATGTCCAGCATGTGGAGAAGAGGGAATAATTTTTTGTCCCCCTGCTGTACACCAGACTGCCTTGCTTGGCCCCAAGGTGGAGTTCAAATCTGCACCACAACTGCCCCAAGGACCTGGCTCAGCTCCAGGCTGAGTCTCAGGACTCCAGCAGCTTCAGGAACAACCCTGTGAGTGCCTCTGAAGTCTAACAAACCAGTGGATCTGTCACCTGAAGAAAAGACACCACAAAAGGAGAGCCCCCAGCTGTCTCTCCTGCTCTCATGGCAGGAAATTGTTTCATAGAGCAGCATTGCTTGGTATTGCCAATCCACAGTTGGACAGCCCCTCTCTCCCACCTTCTCTCCACTCCCAAGGCCCCATTTTGCTTCCCTCCCTGAGGTGTTTTTGTGTCCCCACAGGCCTGCAGGTTGTCCTCAAGTCCATCATGAAGGCCATGGTGCCCTTGCTGCAGATTGGGCTGCTCCTGTTCTTCGCCATTGTGATGTTTGCCATCATCGGGCTGGAGTTTTACATGGGCAAGTTCCACAAAACCTGCTTTTCCAACGAGACAGGTGAGCTCTGCCCTTTGGACCTTCCCCTCCTGCTTCTGTGCTGCTTTTCCTTTTGCCTCATCCCCTGCATTCTCTCCCTCTTTACCCACATATTCTGAGAATTACACAGAATTTTGTGCCCACCCTACACAGACTGGGACAGATTCTCCTCTGTCTGATGCCACTGTGCTGCTCCCAGTCTGCCCAGGAGTGAGATGAAAGTCCTCAGGGCCTCCTGTCCCAAAAGAATTTTCTCAGCAGAAGCACAGAACCAAATCCCTGTTGTTTCTTATTAATTAATGGTGTCTGTCTAATTTTCCTTGGGTTTTGCTTCATGCACATTGAGTTTCCTGGGGAGCTTTCTGGGGAAACTTTGGTGTGGAATAGTAAAAGATTGAAAAGTCTGGGAGCAACCAAAAAATAAAAGGGCAATAGATGGAAGGCAAGGAGTCCTTTGATGGAGAAAGGATAAAAATGACCTTCAGGGAAGGGAAATTGGGCACTGAAGAGTAAATGATGTGTCTGCCTGGGAGTGAGTGATAGAGCCCAGAAGATGGAGGTGGAGAAGGTTGATCCCAGAGATTCTTAGCTGGGAACAGCTGTGTCAAATCATGGAATCATGGACTGCTTTGGGCTGGGAGGGACCTTAAAGATCATCTTGTTCCACCTCATTCCTTTATAGTGGTGTTAATAGATGTTTATTATCTGATAACACACATTAAAATGTTGTTCTTGTCTCCAAACCATTGCATTTTAAGGTGCAATCGACTTTCTTTAAAACACAGCCTTGTATTTTCAGTCATTATCACTAATAGGTCTTAATATTGATTTATTTCCCTGCAATCCAATGGTAATAAAAGAACCCTGCCAAATCTCTGGGCATCCCTCATGGTGCTTTCTGATGGGAGCACTTTAATACACTCAGTGTACACAGAGATTTGCAAAGGGAATTCTTGCTCATGTTCCAGTGGAATGCTGGAATAACATAAAGCAGGTTGTGAAGGAGTTGTGACTTGTGAGAAAATCCTGGCAGTTCCTGGAGGAAAGGAGGTTTTGGGCTGGATTTGTAGGAGGGAGAAGTCCCTTTGTGGGTAGTGTGGCAGTGGGGACAGGGACAGCAGTGACAGGATGGGTGTGGAGGCAGCAGCAGAGGTGTAGGAGAGGATAAATCCTGAGCAGGTTGGGGTTTGCCAGGAGCATTTTTGGGTCTGTTAATCTGCAAACAAGGCAGGGGATGTTTGTGCATCCCTTGTGAGCAGGAGGCAGCTGCAGGCAGAGCCCGAGGCTCTCCCTCACGGCTGACACCTGAGGAGAGAGGATTTTCATCAGGGAGGATTTTCATGAGGGAGGATTTTCATGAGGGAGGATTTTCATGAGGGAGGATTTTCTGCCCCCCCCAGAGCAGTGCAAAAGGCCAACATCCTCCCCAGAGCTGTGTGTGCTCCCTGCACGCTCATCTCTGCCATCAGCACTGACCAAGAGAGTCTGGGCCAGGTTTGGGGACCCAGGAGAGGTTTTTGTCATGGCTAATGGTATGTGCAAGCTCCTCTTGCTGCCTGGGTGCATTCCAGATGGAATTGGGAGCATGGCTGGAGCTCTGCTGCCCGTGCTGCATTTCAGCTCTGCTGCCCAAGCTGCATTTCAGCTCTGCTGGCTCACTGTGAGCTGTGGTTTGTTGTAGTTGAGATGATCACAATACAAAGCAATGCATTCCATTTTCAGAAGGCTTCAAACTGTTTTTATTATAGCATGGATGCTTTTTATACATTCTTACAAAACTCATCAGTTTACACTTTACTCATTGGTCACAAACAAAGTGCTCATTGGAACACGCAATTGCAGGTTTCTCTTATTTCTCCTTCTTTCTTTCTTGGTTTCTGTGTCAATGACCTTGGTAGAAAATTCTTCCAGAGTTAAACATGGATCCTCTCATCAAACTCCTCTCTGTAAAACCTCTTGCACTGTGGCAACAACAACATGTCCCTTTAAAAACCCTTTAATGCTTTCCCAATCCCAGCTCTCTAAACAGGGACATTGCTTGGGATATTTGCTTATTGTATTTGTGGGGTTCCCAGACAAAGGAAGGAATGATGAATCTGACACCATGTTCTCACAAGGCTAATTTATTACTTTATAATACTATATTCTGTTAAAGAATACCATACTAAACTATACTAAAGCCCCTCTGTAGGGAGGGGAAGGGGCTCTGGGGGTGCTGAGCTGGCTTTGGGTGAGTTCTGAGCATCCCTTCCAGCTGCCAGGCAGGAAATGGTGTTTCTGGAAAGGAGAGGGGGGTGAGGTTTCCTGGCACTGCATCCCCTGGGAGCAGAGCAGCAGAACAACCCACAAAGCTTTTGCAAACCTAAGTGCTCCTCATCTCACAGAGGTGCATTAAGGAGCCTGGGCAGAGACCACGGGCTCCAAACCGGCCTGAGGGTGGAAATGTGAACTCATTAAAGAGCTGCCTCTGGTAGGGGGTGGAAAATGGAGGAGGGGAAGCTGCTCATGCTTCTTTCTGTTCCAAATCCCCAAAGTGAGCAAACCCCTGAGATTTTTCCTGGAATCAGGAGCCAGAGGGACCAACTGTGCATCATGAGGGGAACCAAGCAGAGGTGTCAACAGCAAGTGTTGCTCTGCTGAGCCAATAGCCTGGGGAGGCCAGTGATGAACTGCAGGACAAAGGGGTGCTGGGCACCAAAATATGGCCAAAGGGTTATTCAAGGCCTTTTCCCTTCAGCCTGACTGTTCTGAGCTGGAAACATGGCATTATTGTAATAAAAATGGATAAAACTCAGTGGCAGTTTTGCTCCAGTCTTGTTTCCCTCTCCCTGCACCTTCCCTGCTGTCCTGCTCTGCTGACACAGGATTATTTTTAAGCACCTGACCCAGCCCAAATGCCCCAAAGGTGCTCCAGGAGAGAAGGGCACCATATTTATTTCCCATTTTTCCTTGAATTTCCCCCTTACTCTGTCTTCTCCAGCCATGAGGAGTAAGGGCCAGTTCTGGTCACTGCTTTAAAAAGGAACAAATCCCCCACCCAGCCCTTTGTGGTAGATGTGCACCGCATTTTCAGAGAATTCCCTGGCAGCAAAAGGCCAAACTGACATGAAACTGGATCCTCTTTTAATGCACACTCACAAACGGTCAGCAGGAGCCAGCTTTGGCATTTTCTCCTCTCACCAAGCCCTTGTGAGAGCCTGTGGTGACCCATCTGGGAGCTGGAGGTTTGCCCTGCTCTGAGGTGTTGAGTCAACAGGAAAGTGTCACATATATATTTATATATATCTACACACACTTCTGTCCTGCTCCACTGTGACAATTTTGCTTTCCTCCTGCAGGCTTTGCTCTGTGAAATGATTATTCCTATTTTTTGTTAGTGCTGCTCCTGCTTTTTCCCCTGGTGAAATTGGATTTTGTGCCGTTTGCTGCTCATTACCGTAACATGTCCCTTTAAAAACCCTTTAATGCTTCCCCAATCCCAGCTCTCTAAACAGGGACATTGCTTGGGATATTTACTTATTGTATTTGTGGGGTTCCCAGATGAAGGAAGGGATGATGCATCTGACTCCATGTTCTTAGAAGGCTAATTGATTACTTTACTATATTATATTAAATATTATATTATATATATTATATATATTATATTATACTATACTAAACTATACTAAAGAATACAGAAAGGATACTTACTGAAAGCTAAAAAGATAATAATGAAAACTCATTACTTTTTCCAGAGTCTCAACACAGCTTGACCTTGATTGGCTAATAAGTCAAAACAATTCACATGAAATAATGAAACAATCACCTTTTGGGTAAACAATCTCCAAACACAAATTCTGAACAGCCAATCTCCAGCCAAATTCCAAGTAATTCCAAAGCAGCAAAACACAGGAGAAGCAAATGAGATCAGAATTGTTTTCCTTTTTCTCTGAGGCTTCTCAGCTTCCCAGAAGAAGACTCCTGAGCAAAGGACTTTTTCCAGAAGATGACTGTGACATTTGCTTGCTCTGAAAAGCCAGCACTGGAGTTTTCCAGCCTGCAGCACTTCCCAGCTGAGCCTGGAAGGTGCTGGGATGGTCCTGGCCATTCCTGGTGCTCCTTCCCTGGCAGATTTGTCCACCTTGGCCTCCTCTGGGTCTGCAGTGAAACTCAGCAGAGAGGCACCATCCCACATGGATCCTTTCCCTCTGTTTGGAGCAGAAATGTGGAGCTTCTGGAGGAGCTGGAGTCCTTCAGTGCTGCCTTGGGGTGACACCAGGGGCTCCTCATGCAGCTGTGCTCAAACATCTGTACCAGGGCAATTCTGGGGCAGTGCACACCCCCAAACTGGCATTAGTGCAGAAGGTGCCCTTTTGCTTTAATGCTACAGAGCAACTATTTAGCACTTTGAGGGTGTTTGAAGTGTGTGTTGTTCCCAAAGCCCCACTTTTACCATGCTGTTGGTTTTAATTTTTGTGGTGTTGCTTTATTTTGTGGTGTTGCTTTATTTTGTGGTGTTTTTGGGATTTTTTTTGGTGTGTGTGTGTGTTTTTCATGCTGCTCTTACATAGTTTCCAGGCCTCTCATATGTACTGGGCTGTCACAAGCCAGAAATTATTTGCAGTTTGGAAGCCTCTTCTGCCAGGTAACAAGTGGCAGAACAAGAGGAAATGGCCTCAAGTTCTCCAGGAGAGGTTTAAACTGGAGATCAGGGGGAATTTCCTCACTGAAGGGGAGGTCAGACATTGGAAGGGGCTCCCAAGGGTGGAGTCCCCATCCCTGGAAGTGCCCAAAAACGTGTGGATGTGGCCCTTGGGGACATGGGTTAGTGCTGCTGGGTTGATGGTTGCACTTGGTGATCTTAGAGGTCTTTTCCAACCTAAAGAGTTCCACCAGGTGAGATGGCAAAATATGAATTTTGGCACTGCAGGGATGGCTCTGCTCCACCCCCACTGACCCATCTCCCACAGCCCAGCAGTGTGGAAATGATCACAGGGGCACGACGACTTTTCCATATTCATAGCAGCACAAAGAAACCCAAAATGTGAATTTAATCCTTGCACTGGTGCCAGGAGGATGCAGCAGCACCAGACAGGAACTTCTAAGGATGGTTTCAGTCAGGAATTTCTCAGGATGGTTCCAAGCAGGAACTTTTCAGTATGGTTTCAGTCAGGAACTCTCCAGGATGGTTCCAACAAACAGGAACTTTTTAGGATGGTTCCAAGGAGGAACTTTTCAGGACGGTTCCAATCAGGAACTTTTTAGAATGGTTCCAATCAGGAACTTTTCAGGATGGTTCCAACAAGCAGGAACTTTTTAGGATGGTTCCAAGGAGGAACTTTTTAGAATGGTTCAAAGCAGGCACTTCTCAGGATGGTTCCAACAAGCAGGAACTTCTCAGGTTGGTTTCAATCAGGAACTTCTCAGGTTGGTTCCAGCAAGCAGGAACTCTTTAGGATGGTTCCAAGTAGGAACTTCTCAGCATGGTTCCAACAAGCAGGAACTTTTTAGGATGGTTCAAAGCAGGCACTTCTCAGGGTGGTTCGAAGCAGGCACTTCTCAGGATGGTTTCAATCAGGAACTTCTCAGCATGGTTCCAACAAGCAGGAACTTTTTAGGATGGTTCAAAGCAGGAACTTCTCAGGGTGGTTTCAATCAGGAACTTCTCAGCATGGTTCCAACAAGCAGGAACTCCTCAGGGTAGTTCCAGTCAGTAACTTCTCTTCCCTCCCTGCAGGTGAGGAGGTGGGGGATTTTCCCTGTGGAGAGGAGCCTCCTGCCAGGCAGTGTGAGAGCGGGACCACGTGCAGGGAGTACTGGCAGGGCCCCAACTATGGCATCACCAACTTTGACAACATCCTCTTCGCCGTGCTCACTGTCTTCCAGTGCATCACCATGGAGGGCTGGACTGACATCCTCTACAATGTGAGTGCTCTGCTGGGGCTGGGGGGTTGGGTGGGAAGAGATGGTTCTGGGAAGAAAAAAGTGATTTAATTTGTGTGGTTTTCACCTCCTGAACCCCTGCTTTTGAGGAGGATTGTTCCTGTTTTCCTGAGGGACTGTTTCTGGTTGAGTCTGTGGTGCTTTGAGGGTGCAGAGTTGCTCAGCTATGGGATGAGTAGGAGCAGGAGGATGCAGCAGCACCAGACAGGAACTTCTCAGGATGGTTTTGGTCAGGAACTTCTCAGGATGGCTCCAATCCAGAACTCTTCAGGGTGGTTTCAGTCAGAAATTTCTCAAGATGGTTTCAGTCAGAAAACTGAAACCTGGGTGGTGGCAATGCAGGAGCTGGTGTCACCCCAAGGTGCTCCTGTGCTCTGCTGGGTGAGTAGGAGCAGGTTCTCACAATGCCCCACAGAAATTCCAAATTGTACAAAATTGGGTGGCAAAAGCAGAAACTCCTTCATGTTTTGTACCTGGAGGTTTCCTCTCCTGACTGTATGATCAAACTTGTAACACTGAGCTCCAGGACCGGTTTTGTTTAGTCCAGTGCAGTTTCACAAAGCCCTATCACTCACCTTCACCCCTGGCATGACTCTGTGGGCTGCAGAGAAGATGGGCCAGGCTGAATTCCTGCCTCCTGCCAGGCAGGACCATGACTGGCACAACCTCTTGGCTGTTCAGTTTTGCTCTTCCCAATTTTACAAAGAGCAGGATGATTTCCCCCAGCCTCTGCTGGCTTCCAGGCAGTGCAAGGCTCTCATTTGAGGGTGTAGTTTATGTGGAAAAATCCCTAAGCTGGGCACTACTGATGCCCTCAGCCCATTTCTCTGGCTGGAGGGATGATGCTGTGCTCAGTTTTCTTCATCACAGACTCCAGAGCCCTGCTGGGCCCTTTCAGTCCTTCCTGGGAGGGTTTTTGTAGCAACAGGAAAGGATTATCCTCAGCCACAGTGAATTGCCAGGTACAATTCTGCTGTGTTTGGAGCCAATAAATGTGATTTATTCCCTTCCTTGCTCAGTTCCTCCATTTATTCCGTCTCTGACCACTTAAAGCCATCTCAAGAAGATTTCTCCCCTCACCCTAAAGCTTCACCACACCACCAGTTTCTCCCCTTCTCATTCAGCATTTCTGCTCCTTCCTCCTGGTGCCAAGTGTTGTAAGAAAAGCCCATTAGCATCCTGGCTGCAATTGATTAATCAATATGTGGTGCATGAGATCATCTTCTCCCAACCTGCCTCTCGTACCACATGCAAAACCCCGAGCTTACTATGGGGGCATTGATTTTGGGGGCAGATTGAAGCTGTTTAGTTTCATTCTGGATACCCATGAATTGGGATCAGGTGCTTGGACTGTGACAGTCCTGCTGCAGAGTTGGATTTGTTGTGTCTGAGATCCCAGCTCAGAGTTTGATGCTTGGGTCTGGCAGATCTGAGGGGCTCTGGATGTCCTCACTGAGGGGAGGCCGAGTGCTTTGTGCTGTGCCATGGGACGCTCAGCAGAAGTCAATGGTGCCAAAAGCCACCCCTGCTACCTGTCCCTTGTCCCCAAGGGCTGTCAGCCCCTCCCTGTGCTGCTCTGCTTGCTGAGGACCTGGCTGTGCTACTGCAGGTTGGAAACAGAGAAGCTGAGGGTGAGGAAGATCCTCTCAGTGCAGCCCTCAGCCTTTTCACAGCTTCACTCATGTGCTGCTTTCTGGCCACTTGTTTCTTGGTTTGGTGTCTTCTGTGCCTACTCCAAGTCCATCAAATTGAAAATAGGAGACAAAAGCCCAGATTATGCTGCAGCAGTGACTGGAAATCCTCCATGGGGTGTTTGTGGATGCACTGTCAGGCTGTGCACAGGTAACAGCAGTGAAGCCATACAATTATGGATTGGTCTGGGTGGGAAGGGATAATCCCATTCCAACCCCTGCCATGGCAGGGACACCTCCCACTGTCCCAGGCTGCTCCCAGCCCTGTCCAGCCTGGCCTTGGGCACTGCCAGGGATCCAGGGGCAGCCCCAGCTGCTCTGGGCACCCTGCCCACCCTGCCAGGGAACAATTCCTAATTCCCAATATCCCATCTAACCCTGTTCTCTCTCAGTTTGAAATCATTGCCCCTTGTTCTGTCACACTGCCCATATGAAAAGTCCCTCTCCCTCCTTTTCAGAAGTTCCTTCAGGCCCTGCCAGGGGCTCTGAGCTCTCCCTGGAGCACCCCCAGCTCTCCCAGCCTGGCTCCAGCCCTGGAGCAGCTCCATGGTCCCCTCTGGACTGGTTCCAGCAGCTCCAGGTCCTCCTGATGTTGAGGACCCCAGACCTGGACACAGAACCCCAAGTGGGGTCCCACAAGGGCAGAGTAGAGGGGGGAATCACCTCCCTCATCTTGGCCACTCCTCTGTAGGTGAAATCCACCCATCCTGCTCCAGGCAGTGCAGAAACTGCCCAGGGATGCTGCTGGAACCCTACTGGACCCAGGCTGGGAAGAATCTGGAAGATGTTTCCCCTTGAATCCAGAACTGGTAGAGTAAGTGAACCCCTTGACAAAGGGGGAATGTCCGAGGTTATTCCTTGTTCAGGGAGCTCTGATTCACCAACCCAGTTCTCCACTCCTGAGGAAAATGGTTTTTTGTTAGGAAAATTTTATCAGGAGAAGTTTCCTTGTCAGCCCCAGGCTCTGGTGTCCTCAAGGAGAGCAGCATTCCCCTGATGCAGGATAGTCATCAGAACTGAGCTGTGCACCTACTTTTAATCTTTTCCTTAATTAAGATTTGCAAAAGGCTGTGGGACCATGGGAGGCAAGATGTGCTCTGTGTAAACTGTGATTAAGCATTAGTAAGAATAAAGGAGCTTTTTCTCCTGCTAACTCATGAAAGCAGGGAAAAACACACAGTTCTGGTGCCCGAAACATAATGAGGACATGGAACTGAGGGAGCAAATCCAGAGGAGGCGACAAAGTTGGGAATAGAGAACCTCCCCCATGGACACAGAAGACACAGAAGGGGTTGTGTGGAGAGCTCAGAGCCCCTTGCAGGGCCTGAGGGGCTCCAGGAGAGCTGGAGAGGGACTGGGGACAAGGGATGGAGGGACAGGACACAGGGAATGGCTCCCAGTGCCAGAGGGCAGGGCTGGATGGGATATTGGGAACTGGGAATTGTTCCCTGTGAGGGTGGGCAGGCCCTGGCCCAGGGTGCCCAGAGCAGCTGGGGCTGCCCCTGGATCCCTGGCAGTGCCCAAGGCCAGGCTGGACAGGGCTGGGAGCACCTGGGACAGTGGGAGGTGTCCCTGCCATGGCAGGGCTGGGATGGGATGGGATTTAAGGTGCCTTCAACCCAAATCTGTGATTCTCTAAAAGCTGCTAATCCTCAGGCTTAGCTGAACCCTTCCTTCACCCCTCCCTCCCGTGAGTGCCACCACCACAGGCTGGCCCAGGTTGGGGTAGATTTGTTCCCCTGCTTGTACAAACCCCTCCCTTGGTGCTGCTGGAGCAGCCAGCCCTGCTGGGACTGAAATCCCTGTGCTGCCAGGCAGTCTGGGACTGAGACCCATTAGGGGAAGGCTGAGGTTACAACTTCTGCCTTAATGGCCCATTCATTTCCTGCTGCAAAACGTCAGGATTGATTGTCCTGCATCAGCAGGGCTCTGTTCTCACTCCCCTCCTCCTGCTGCTCTGTGGCTGGGGCTGCTCAGGGCAGCCAGGGCTTTACTGGGATGTCAGGGTATTGTATTTGCAGGGACCCCCGTGGCAGGAAGGAATGATGAATCTGACTCCATGTTCCCACAAGGCTGATTTATTATTTTATGATACTATATTATATTAAAGAATACTACACTAACTATACTAAAGAATACAGCAAGGATACTTACAGAATGTAAAAAGATAATAATGAAAACTCCTGACTCTTTCCAGAGCCCTGACACAGCTTGGCCCTGATTGGCCAAAGAGTGAAAACAACTCCCAGCAGAATGCAATGGAACAATCACCTGTGGGTGAACAATCTCCAAACACATTCCACATGAGCACAGCACAGGAGAAGCAAATGAGATGAGAATTGTTTTCCTTTTCTCTGAGGCCTCTCAGCTTCCCAGGAGAGGAATCCTGGGTGAAGGGATTTTTTCAGAGAATGTGAATGTGACATCAGGGAGCAGTCACTGGGTGGGATGTGCTTCACCAGTTCAGCACTCATTGAAATCTGGGAGGTTTTGCTCTGTCCTCAAAGCAGATTGGAAGCTGAGAAAGTTGGGCTGTGATGGCTCCAGGCAAACTGAGGATTTTGGTGTCAAGGCTGTTCAGGAGAGGGGACTGGGGCTTGATGGCTTGGCTCAGGTCTGTCAAAGTGAGGGGTTTGTTGTGAAGGATTATTCAGTCATTCCCAAAGGATTGAGGTGACTTTAGAGGTGGTCCAGATCCAGCTTTCCTACAGATTAAGAAAGTCACAGCATCAAAGGCTTCAGCCCAGCCTTGCAGTTGGAAACCTACCTTGTAAATATTCACTCCTTGTCCTGTGATAAATTGAGGAATTAGGAGAGCAAGAAGAAAGCAAGTTCACAAATCCCAGCCCATTTTTACCATGCTGATCCGCTATTTATACTTCCACAGACTTTTCCTTTTAATTGGGGCTCATGAAAGCTTTCTAGCAAGGCTTTATCTGGGAGGTGATTTATGCTTGAAGCAAAGAGGCTGAATCATCAGTAGGGTGAAACACTTCAATAATAAGCTGGGCAAAAGAACTTCCTGCCTCAGCAGCACAAAAGCATTGGAACAATGACTCCAACCAAGCTCCTCTGAGAGCTGCAGGTTTGTCTCAGCTGTGGCTTGTTTGTGCTCAAAAGAGTCCAAGGACTAACAGGTGGTTTAGGAAAGCTGGTGATGGGGAAAAAACATTTTTTACCAGCAAGTGGAGCACCTCCTGCTAATTCCAAGCTTCAGCATCATCTGGGAATGTATTAAAATAGAGCAACCCAAGAGTTTTCCTCAGGGGGGGAGCCCAGTGCTGTGGCCAG